TTCCCCTTCTGTAAACTATTTATTTCTTATTGAATTGTAGAAGCTCTTTTTCCATTTTAGAAGAATCCTTTGTCTATTATTTAGGCTGCAAATATCTTCTCCCCATCTGTAGCTTGTTTTTACTTTTGTTTATGGTATCTTTCAATATAAAAGGGTTTTTTATTTTAATGAATTTAAATCCATCAGTCTTTTCTTCTATGACTTTTGAATTTTGCGTCACGATTGGAAAAGCCTTCTTTACCCCCAAAGTTATAAAAATATTCTCTGATGTTTTCTCCTTGTATTTTTAGAAATCTGTTTTTAGTCCAATGGGAATCTATTTTTGTGAATGGTGTTTGTGTGAGAGGGTCTCGTTTTATTTTTTTCCTAAATAGATGGCCTATTTTCCCAGCATCATCTCTTGAATAGTCCATTCTTCCCCTGCTGACTTACATATGCTAAATTTCCATATGAGCAGGAATCTGGTCTTAGACTGACTTTTCTGTTCCACTGCTCTTTTAGCTGTTCTGATGCCTTTACATCCTTACTTTCCATTCACTCAGCAATCACAGTAATCTGGCTTCTACCCACAGTTCCCCTCGAACTATTATTCTGAAATGTATTACTGACCTTCATATCACCAAACCCAATGAATATTTTTCAGTTCTGGTCTTCCTGGATACCACGTATCATTCCCTCCCATATGCTACATGATTTAGCTGTCCCTTGATTCTTCAATCAATAAAAATCATGATCATAATATCTTCAGTTTATGAGGCAGTAACTCTGTGCCAGGTGTTTGAGCATTTCACATTCCACACACGTCAAATGTGCTTCACCACAACTCTCTAAGGTAGGTGTTATTATTATTATTACCATCATCATCATCCCCATTTTACAGATGAGAAAACTGAGGCATAGAAAATGTAAGTACCTTGTTCAAGATCCCTGGGCTAAAAAGACAGCAAGATGAAATTTGAAGCCAGGTCTGAGACCAAAGCCTAGGTTCCTAAGCACTCCCCTCTCCAGCCTGTCCTTCTCAGTCTCTCCCTTAAATCCCCTTTTCTCCAGCATCCTTTTTTATTTTTATTTTTCGAGATGGAGTCTCACTCTGTCGTCTAGGCTGGAGAGACATGGCATGATCTCAGTTCACTGCAACCTCTGCCTTCGGGGTTCAAGCAAATCTTACGCCTCAGCCTCCTGAGTAGCTGGGATTACAGGCACACACCACCATGCCCGGCTAATTTTTTGTATTTCTAGTAGAGGCGGGGGTTTCACTATGTTGGCCAGGCTGGTCTTGAACTCCTGGCCTCAAGTGATCCACCCACCTCGGCCTTCCAAAGTGCTGGAATTACAGGCTTAAGCCACTGTGCCCTGCCTCCAGCATCATTTAAATTGTAGCTTTCCGCAGTATCCGGGCTTAGTCATTCCTCTTCCCAGTTTATGCATGTGCCCTTGTAAAGCAGGATATTCTAATGCCCTGTTTCAATGCAGTTTCACTGACATATCTATGCTAATATGGCCCTAACAGCATGAAGAAAACATTGCTTTTTATTATACATCCCTGGAGCTCACTCCACCCTTGCTCCTAGTGCAGTTTCAAGGAGGCTTTTCATTTCTACTTATTTGATTTATTATAAGTATGCATCACATTTATAATCAGGAAGAAACAATAGGGATATCTTAAAAATATAACGGAAGGAGATTTGCCTCTGAGGGGCAGTATCTGTTCAGTCCTCCCAAGCCATTATTATCAAGGCATTGTCCAATGTTAGATACGTTGAATGTATGTAACTGAAAGAATTGTAAGAAATGTAATTGAAGTTTCTGAGCCATCTGCAGCTGAGATTAAGCACTCATAATGTGGCCCAAATATCCTTTCTCCAAAGTTTAATTTATTCTCAACCAAACAAGATTAGCACAATAAGCACGCCTATAAAAAGCAGAGGTGGCCAGGCCCAGTGGCTCATGCCTGTAATCCCAGCAATTTAGGAGGTTGAGGCTGGGGGGGGGGGATCACTTGAGGTCAGGAGTTCGAGACCAGCCTGGCCAACATGGTGAAACCCGGTCTCTATTAAAAATACAGAAAAATTAGCAGGGTGTGGTGGTGTGCAACTGAGTCCAGCTACTCTCAGGAGGCTGAGGCAGGAGAATCACTTGAACCCTGGAGGTGGAGATTGTAGTGAGCTGAGATTGTGCCACTGCACTCCAG